CCCTTGAACAGCAGCACACATTACATTGTCCGCCACATCTGTCAGTGTTCCAGACTGATTATATATTTGTATATATCTGACAAATAAACCCAACTGCCTATTAGCACAGCTATCAAGGAATGCTCTGGTAAAATCCTTTATTCCAGCCATAGTGGATGAGAATAGTCATCCACTATGATTGATATCTATGGAAAAGTTAATTTATTTAAGAAATAAAAAACCTTTTCCACAGATACCAGAGAATCAAGTTACTATTTTAGAATCTCCCATATAAGTAGACCAGGTTGTTTCAGCACTTCAGTCAGGGAAATCTTTACTTCCTCAACTTGCTTCCAAGTTGCTTCCAAAGCACAATGTAATGACTTGCAAGTCATGGAAGAATTAAAACTGCTGGTGCAAACATTACACTAATAGCCATGAAAATAAGAACACTGCTCTTCCTTTTAGTCAATGAACCTTTTAGTCTAGTGACTCTACAACTGCCAAAGGTTAAGAGTGGGTGGGGCCTACCAAATTTAGACATGTTGGTTATTCAGGCCTGAACTCTCTCCTCCTGGGTGAGAGGTGGATGCAGTGCTGTGAAAACTCTTTCCCTCAATAAATTTCATAGGGAAACACCACCTCCTGTTAAAGGCAGTTTCCTGAATAAAAATGTGTTATGAGCATGGGGCAAACTAAGGACAATGTCTGAAAGTAGCTCAGTTAATATTCTTGTAACATTAGATGACCCAGAACTGTCATTGCAAAGTGTAGGATCAAACTTTACAAGTTGGCAAAGAGCAGGCATAAAAAGAATATATAATCTTTTTGATAACGGAAGCTTTAAAACACCCTGAAGTCTCAACATCACCTTTCAAGTAATCATTTCTATAAATACCTACAAATAAGACATTATGTTCTTCTGAAAGCTGGCTCATGAGAACATTTCCACCAGAAACAGTCTGCTGGAAAGGTTTTTGTCTGAACCACAGAAAGCACAAACACTTTGTGACAAAGTTTTATTCTGACATATGTAGGATATATATGGATAAACTTGAATGATGTTTGGGACAAAATGTTGCTGCCGCCCTTCAGAATCTCAATATGCAATAGATATAAAGAGTTACAATATAACATACTGCATAATCTTTATATTTCACCATATATTTACAGTAAGGATAAAACCAAACTGTCCTAAATGTTAGACTACAGTTGGAAGAAGGCTCCATTGTTTGTGGGAATCATTCTGACTTTCT